GATAGTAAAATCCATTTATTGTGATATAAAAACATTATTATTGTCGTTCTAAATAAATGACCGCACGCCTATGATACGTCATGAAATTACAAAGGACGCGCCGACCAAAGGTTTTTATGCTATTTCAAGTGACTTCAGATAAAGTACATATACTATATTTCGCTGTGTCTGTAACGATCACCTGTGTATTGTCTGCAGCTGTCGCGATTATGGCAGGTATTCTGAACGACATCAGACGTGCTGTTGTTGGGTGTTGCTTGTTGCTCCTTCTAATATCATTATAACATGTAATTCATGCAGGGGGATGCTTTGTCTTGCCTTTTTGGCGGCTTTTCCCGTTGAAGCAGATGCCTACCTGTAGGACATTGCATTGTATAGTTTAGGTTAAGCCTAAGCTACACGCTGCTATAAAGACCCGATGATGTTGAGAAACTACTCAACGGGCTTGTTGCACAAATTTCGATGTTTTTGTTATTGGATAGTTCAGAGATGCTGGCGACTCATTTAGTAGTCTGATGATTAGGATAGTCAACTATTGTATACAACAAAAAATAGGTTCATCTAGAATAACTATACCAAATTTCAACTGATCAATTGGGCAAGAATACTTGATAGATCTAAGTACATCTCCCGTATTTACAAGAATTTGTTGTTTTTTAGGTTTCTTTTATGCATCCTATGCATTTGATCTTAATATAAATATGCATACATATCAATAATTATTTTTGCTTACGTCAATAAAACAGTAGCACAGATTTTATAAGAGTTATTTTCGTTTTTTCACATTCTTATTTATATTATCCATTTAAATTTGGAATTATCATATTCAATTTCTCAAAAAATTAACTCACTTTTTTCTGTATAAGCTCACTATTTTCTCACTACTTTTTTTGAAAATCTCACTTTTGCCACTTAAATTCATGCCTTAGGTCGCCAGCATCCGTGATAGTATGCCATGAGTAATGCTCCCCGACAAAAATTGGCTCGCAGGCTGATTGTGCACTTTGCACCGCAACTATGTCACCAGTTCATAAAATATTGGCAGAAGTTAGCCCCATTGCGTTGCGATCACAGCAGCCGTCTTGCGACGAGTTGACAATTTTTATAGGTACCTACCCGGGGAAAATGTGTTGCCATTGGGGTGACATTTTAGCTATGAAAAATAATAATTTAATCGTGATATAAATACCATTAAATAAATTCAATAGTTGTTTTTTCAAAATAACATGATTTAAGTTCCATTGGTTTTGAAACAAGAGAATCATATAGATTGAGAGGACACTGTTCTTCAGAGTAACGGTTGTGTTCTGAAGTTAGAAATTTTTGATAGCGGGTCGCAGCCGTTGCTTTCATTGTTCATGATAAGTTTTATTGTAAAGAAATGAGAAAGTGGTAAAAGAAATTCACAAAGATAGACTTACCAGGATAAATACTGAAACCACTGGCAAAAGGGGGTCTGCCGACATTACGTGAGCAACTCACGCGTTCTTTCGATGTCTTTCAACAATTTAATAGGTTACAGATACCTCTTGGTCGTGTTATTGCCAGTTTTGATGTTGTCTCACTTTCCAGTAATGTCTGGGATCAAATAGGTCAATGCTGCAATCTAACTCTGGATTTCTTTATTACTATTTTAGAATATCTTTTCCACAACAATTTTTTTACTTTTAATAACAATTTAGGCAGCAGCGGTGGCCGCAGTGGTAGACTCTTCGGTCTCCTGATCAGTCGCTGTGCGCTGCGTGGGTTCGAATCCCGCCCCAAGAGAAATTTCTCTCTTGGCTATGGATGTTGTGATTGCCCATAGGTGGTAGACGGTCTCTGACGTTCGAACGCGGAGGTACCATCCTGTGGATTTTGTAGGCGGGGCCAGAATGTGTGCATGTTGCTTGCACACGTGTTCCCTCGCCAGAGTCCGTGTGACGTCCCCCCTTTCCCTGTTTCCCCCTATAGCGCCACGGTACCCCATGGGTGCTTAGGCCTTAGCCTTAGTGGTAGTTGGAGTATAAAAAAATAAAGTCTTGGTTGCCCAATGGGATTATTGCAGTCACCAATTTTGCCAGAATATGTAGGTGATATTATTGTTCGTCTTCCATCACAAGGTGTGGACAGTATTGTTGAAGACTTCAACAGTTATGACCTATATTCAATTCACCATCGAAAAAGAGGATGAAAATCAATCAGTTCCATTGTTGTACTCAAGAATCATCAACATTTTACTGGTAGACTAGTACACAAAACCTATGTTCTCGGGAAGGTTTCTAAATTTTCCAGGTCTTACTATAAACTGAAGATAAAGTTGAATTAGGGGAAAATGAAAACAAAGGTAATTAAATTAAAAATACATCTAGCATGAAGTATTTGGGCGTAGTTTTAGATTTTCAGCTTAATTTTTCATTGCATGTTGATTATGTTAGCAAAAAAATGGGGGAAAAATAGGATTTTTTAGGAGATCATCCGAAAAGCTTAGTTACTGTAGTCGTCTTCTTGTATATAGGGTGTTTCACAACTTATCCGACAAAGTTTAACCGCATATGCAGTGTTACGAAAGAAGTTGATTTCTCAAAAAAAGTATAATAAGAGTCCTGCAGAAATTAAGTTGTTAACCCGAGTTTCAATAATAAATTGAAAAATAAATATCTGTCTGTTGCGTTCATCGTCGTGATATTAGAAAACGCATTAATAATACGATTATATATTCACATTTTAATTAATGTTTTTCATTGTTGCTATTATGCAAAAAAACTGATATTCAAAGGCTCCAGTTACTACAAAATACGGCTATGCGTACTGTATTATTTTGTATACGTTATACACCTATTAATTTTATGTAAAAAACCCTCGGATGGCTTTCAATACAGCAAAGCATAGAAATGTCAAATGTCATTTATTTTTGAAACAAAAAATCAATTATTGCCTGAATACATTTTGCTTGAGTAAGACTCATTATAAACTATAGGAAGTAGCTTTAGGGCCAAGGCTGCAGTTACTACAAAATAAGGCAATTCGTACTATCTTATTTCGTACACGTTATACACATATAAATTTAATGTTAAAAACCGTCGAATGGCTTTCAATACAGCAAAGGATAGAAATGTCAAATGTCTTATTTATTTTTAAAACCAAAAATCAATTATTACCTGAAGACTTGCAGGAACATGTAATACCGAGATCCGAGAGGCATGCATATAATATTAGACCACGTAACACTTTTAATATGGAATTCGCTAGAACATCCCATATGCAAAAATGTCTTTTTAGTGATGGTTTGAGACTTGTTAATGCATTACCTACAGAAATTAGAGAAGCGACGTCTGTAAATATATTTATTCGTAAGGTTAAGCAATTGTATCTAGATAAAATGGCATAAGACATGTAATTTCTGTGTTAAGATAATTGTATGGTATATCTCGTATTTGCTGTGGTTGCATTTACTGTGATTTTAGAAGAACTGTTTTTTTTTTGTTTTTCACTTGAGTAAGACATTATTATAAACTATAGAAAGTAGCTTTAGGGCTAAGAATAATAAACATTTCATTTTATTTCATTTCATTTCAACATACATATTTGACAATACTTTCCATGCTTCTAATCTACGTAAACTCTCAACAGTGTTTATTAATAATGGTTATCCGAGGTACGAGATTAACAGAATCTTATTTAGCTCTCCGTTTAATTTGTTGTGCCAAATCTAAATAATAATAACACCCATCCCACCTTTTCTAATAATATTGCCAATAATTCTTCCCATAATAACACCAATGTACCTGCTTAGCTTAACCAACACTGCCAAGTCCATTAATTGTAATGGTTTCAATTTAGTATACCTAGATCAATAATCTAGATCATTGATTCCCAAAGTGGTCTATATCGACCCCTAGGGGTCTATGACAACCTGCAAGGGGTCTACGTCAGCGAAAAAAAATTTGGGGCTCCATGAAATGAATATGGGGGTCCACGATAGTGGATCTCAACACATACACTGATAGTACCTATTTACTTACATCATACTATCTTATAATATCAACACATATACATTATTTATAAAAGTACCTATGAAGTAAAACATTTATTATATATATTTATAAAATTGTGTAAGTTGTAGGATGTTGGTATTCGCTTTGTGGTCGCAATACATTTTGAACTTGTAAAAACCTGAGAGTCGCAGTCTCAGAGCTTCGCTACCTTGCACTGACTTGTTCAATTCGTCACTCTATAAATACGAATGTGGGACAAATACGTTTACTCGTTTCCTGAATCTTGAAAAGGAAAGTGCTAAGAAAATATTTTAAAAAATATAAACAGATAGTATATCACCCAAATTATAGTGAGTCAGTGTTATTTTGTTTGAGAGTGCTAGAGAAAAGTAAGTACATTAGTTTTTATTAAATTTTAGTTTTGTACTTTAGCAAAGATAGATAAATTACGCCAATCATGACTTTAGTTATTAGTAGTTAAATATTCAATCATGCAAAATTACACAAGTACTCCTCAATAGTTTCTTTTCGAAAGTTTTAGCAATCGGTAATATAATTATAGTGCAATCTCCGTAATTTGAGCTAATTGTTGCAAGAAGATGTTCGAATTATGGAATGTTTTCGGAAAATCAAAAAATATTTTTAATATACAGGTGCCGGATTTTCTGTCTTATTTAAATAATTTAATTTTGCCCACAGATGACTGATGCGGTATTTGCAGCGTCTGACAACAAATTAATCGCTCTTATAAAAATCAAGGTTTTAGTAGTGTTCTACTGGTTATAAAAATACAGTCAGTGCGCCAAGAAGAACGTAACAACTGATTGGCACCGTGAGTACCCTTTGGGCCACTTTCTGATAATAGTTCTGCGTTAAAACCCAATAACATCATAAACATACTGGTAAATTAATCAAACTCCTGGCCGCATACCTTTCCATTTGCGGACAGGACCGTATCTAGAAGAATGTCATATCGTCTTCACCCAGAGCTAACTAGAAACATTTAATATGATTACTCAAACTATGACAAGTAACCCTACCACATCACAAAACCCTACGCCCAAGTCATACTCAAAAGTTGTCTCCCAACACAGCGAAAAACATCCTAACAAAGAACAAGCAATAGTTTTCAGCACTATAGAGGGAGCTAAACTACAAGACTATCTTCTGAAATTAGGTCCACTGGTAGAGCCCAAAAACATTATATTTTGCTCAAGGATCTCGAACAACAGAATATGTGTTTACCTCTCAAGTAAAAGTTTGGTTGACCAGTTCATACAACAGCATGGAGAATTAACCGTAAATGGAGAAATAATAAAAGTTCGTCGCCTAGTTACCCCCTCTGATAGACTGGTAATATCGAACGTTTGTCCGACCATCCCGCATGCAGTTCTAAACGACGCGCTGCAAAAATTGCATTTAAAGCTTTTATCTCCAATTTCATTCCTCAGAATTGGAGCCACTCTAGCGGAGTACAGTCACATTTTGAGTTTTAGGAGGCAAGTTTACATAGCACCTTCAGAGAATACGGATATCCCAGAATCCATAGAGATAACGCACAACGATCTGACCTATCGTATATTTCTTACTTTAGACAGTCAAAAGTGCTACAAATGTAAACTTATTGGACATATTGCTTCACAGTGTCCATCGATCCAGATTTCGCAGACTTCCACAGAATCAGAGACCCTCAACGATGAACTGTCAAACCCATCCGAAAATCAAGTAGTATCAGATATAACTACAGAAGATTCCACCACAGCCCACATACATCTGCCCAAAGAAAATACCAAATCAATTACGAACAAAAACAGCCACCAACATCCTCAAAACACTAACACAAACATCATTAGCCTGCACGGCGAAGGAACACCGAATAATGACGAATTAATAACTCCAAGCGTATCCTCCAAAAGGAGCTTCTCAGAAATACTAACACCAACGGAAGACACAGGTGCACCTCAAAGCTATCAAGTAACATTCACCAAACCGACTGCAGATAACATCAAGAAACACAAACCTGATCAGGAATTAACAATACCCATAAAAGCAGCCTTGAACCTATCAAAAATTTGATAGAGACTCAGCAGACGGTACTGAACATCGATCAGCTCACCAGTCTGTTGGAAAATGTACATGGAGCTAAGGATGCCATTACTGTAGTAAACAACTATACCTCAGATTTCAGAGCTCTTATAGAAATGCTTCTCCTAATTTACCCCCATTTGACAAACCGCACAATAAAGAACAGATGCACAAGATTAAGGAAAAAATTGGAACACCACATCGATCAAACGGTAGGATCACTAAGCGACACGTCATCCATAGATTCGACGTTTTAATAACAATAAAATTCACGTCAATTCTACAATGGAATTTAAATGGATATCGTATCCATTTGACCATGCTTCGAAAGTTATTAACTGATCACAAACCAGATATCATTTGCCTACAGGAAACTCACTTTAGTGACAGTAAAACACACACGCCTAAGCAGTATATAGGTTATTTCAAAAATAGGAATACGGGAACAGCAAGTGGGGGAGTGGCTATATATACCAAGTCGTATATGCAATCTAGTCAAATCAATCTCGTTACTAATTTAGAAGCTGTAGCAGTTACCATAGAAGATGGAGAGAAGGTCAATATCTGCAATGTATATATCCCACCTAACTACTTTTTGGATAAGAAAGAACTGGAAGACTTGATACAACAAGTTCCCGCTCCTCGCATAATTGTTGGAGACTTTAACGCACATGATTATACGTGGGGATCCTTCAAACATGACCAACGAGGAAACATAGTAAGAGGCATCCTGGACTCAAGCCACCTAGCCTTGCTGAACGACGGTAACTGTACTAGATTCGACGCCGCATCAGGAAGACTCTCCGCAATCGATTTGAGCCTATGCACCCCCGGCCTGCTAACTCACCTAAATTGGAGTACAGAAGATGACTTATATGGAAGCGATCATTTCCCAATACTTATATCAAACAATAAAAACAACAAAAACACTGAATCAACGCCTCCTCAAAAGTGGAGATTAAAGCAAGCTAATTGGCATTCATTCTCACACTATATAGATAGTAACCTTGACCGCAATATAAAATCTAATGTCAGCATAGACTCTATAGTGGAACAGCTCAACAAGACTATAACTGATGCCGCACAACATATCCTAGGTAAAACCACCCACGTAAAAAATAGAAATCCTGTGCCTTGGTGGAACAACGAATGCGAATCTGCACTCAAAGAGAGTAAACAAGCGGTCAATAAGCACAAAAGACAAAAAAATCTCAATACATTAAGGAACCTTCGGAACAAACAGGCCAAATTAAGACTAATAACTAGAAAAAACCAAAAACAATCGTGGCAGAATTACGTCAGTAGCATTAGTTGTAACACACCAATGCCCAAAGTATGGAAAAAGGTGAAAAGCATTTCTGGAACTAAGACTTACTCACCAATAAGATGTCTAAAAGACGGTGAAAACACTGTCACTGAAAGTCATCAAATATCAGAAATATTATCCAAGAAATATTACTCCAACTACAGCAATGGAAACTACTGTTCAGACTTTACGAACTACAAACTAAATGCAGAATCAGTGATAATCCCCATAGAAGACAACAGCGATCCAATCAACCTACCCATCACAGAATTAGAGTTCTTGGATGCACTCAACGACCTGAAAGATACTGCTGCAGGACCAGATGACATTCCGCCTATTTTCCTAAAGAAACTTCCCCCGTCTGCTCATAACCGCTTATTACACATATTCAACACCATCTGGACAACGAACGTTTTCCCCAAAATATGGGGACAAGCAATAACAGTTCCTATCCTGAAGTCTAATAAATCACCCCAGCTACCAGAATCGTACAGGCCTATATCACTAACCTGCTGTATGTGCAAGCTTCTTGAGAAAATAATTAACCGCAGGCTTATGTGGAGTCTCGAACATAAAAACCTATTAGCCTACCAACAAGCTGGTTTCAGATCAAATAGATCTACTATAGATAATATAATAGACTTAGAAACCCACATCCATGAAGCATTCTCGGACAATCAACATTGTATGGCAATTTACTTTGATATCAACAAAGCGTTTGATACAGCCTGGAAATACAACATCATTTCTAAACTCCACAAATGGGGATACAATGGAAACATTCTATCCTTCATTTCCAACTTCCTCGACAACAGATGTTTCCAAGTACGAACAAATGGTGTACTGTCGGAACAAAAACAACAGATCAACGGAATACCTCAAGGCTCTATTATTAGTCCAACTCTATTTCTTATAGCACTTAACGACGTTCTAAGAGATATCGAACTACCTCTTCAGGCCCGTCTATACGCGGACGATATGATCGTATTTGTGAGGGGAAAGAACTTGACAACAAATGCATCGTTATTACAACATTACCTGAATAAGCTGGAATACTGGTCTAAGCAGACAGGATTTACCTTTTCAACAGAGAAAACAACTTGCATCATTTTCTCGAAGAAGCCTGTGCGTGACAAGCCCACTTTAAAGTTGTGCAATAAGATTCTAAAGTACACCAGCGACATCAAATTCTTGGGAATCACATTTGATAATCGACTTAATTGGAAGAAACATATAACAGATGTCATTCAGTCTTGTCAAGCAGGGATCAACATGCTAAAGTACCTATCAAATAGACACTGGGGGGCTGAAAGTAAGACACTGCTTACTATATATAGAGCACTTGTAAGATCCAAGATTGACTATGGCTGCATCGCGTACAACTCAGCAAGACCTTCAGTTCTCAAACCTTTAAACGTGCTTCACAACACTGCGCTGCGATTAATATTAGGAGCATACAGAACCACACCGGTAGACAGTCTGTACTGTGAATCGGGAGAAGCACCATTACACATAAGACGTCAGATAATGAGCCTCACATATTTTAATAAGAAAATCGCAAATATCAATACATCAGCCCATAAATATTTAGCCACTACAAGGTCCTATAGGAATAGCATAACAGGCACTCCTTTTCACAACAGAATCAGAGTCTACTTAAGAAGTCTCGACATCCAGAACGTACCGTCAACACTTACTACTGTCACCGATACCATCCCGCCTTGGATTATTTGTCAACCAGTTACCAATACAACACTCATCAAGTTCAACAAAACCGAAACACCCAATGAAGTTATATACCAGAATTTCTGTAATATCATAAGCGACTATCCAGGGTCAAAACAATTATACACTGATGCTTCAAAAACAAAGCAAAGCGTAGGAGCAGCAGTCATCACTCCCACATCCACAATCAAACTGAAGCTTCCAGCAGCAGCATCCATATTGACGGGTGAGCTTTACGCAATCAGAGAAGCTGTCCAGTTTATCAAAAACAGTCCTTATCAGAGGTGGGTAATAATTACAGACTCCTTAAATTCAATCGAGTCCATAAACAAACTGAATCCCAAAAATCCACTGGTCAACCTAATCAAGGAGGAAATACACCGGAACTTACTTCTAAACAAGGAGATAACTCTATTATGGGTTCCCTCACATAAATCCATATTGGGCAACGAAATGGCGGACAGGGGCGCAAGATCAGCGGCGGACGCCAAAATGCAGACAATACAAAAGATTCCTGTTTCCGATATCAAGACATACTTCCACAACATGGCAATAGAACAGTTTAACAATAAATGGAGAAGCGGATCAGCGAAGCTTCTTGAAGTGAAATCTCGTCTTGGTTCCTGGCAGATCAACACTACAAATAGAAGGCACCAGGTTCTGCTGACCCGTCTTCGTCTGGGACACACCAGGGCCACACATGGTTACCTCATATCGGGAGATCCCGTACCTCTTTGTACAATTTGTGAAGTGTCCCTCACCGTTAAGCACATTTTAGTGGAGTGTCCCATTCTAGAATACCAAAGAGTGTCCTCCAACTTAGGATCTAGCTTAATAGACATTATAGGCTCAGAATGTAACATAAACAATCTACTCTTATTTTTACAAACCACCAACTATGCTCATAAAATTTAGTGTAACACTGTGTACTGCTCCGCCGCTAATGACCATCAGGCCGATGCGGCAATTGTATTTTTTTTTATTGAATAAAAAAAAAAAAAAAAAAAAAAAAAAAAAGATGACTGATGCCATGTCCGAATCTAAAAAGAAATGTAGACAGTACAGTGTTGATTATTTGAAATTTGACTTCAGTCCATCATTGCCGGACAAACAATCGCCTAAATGCCTTTTGTGCAACAAAGTTTTGGGCAATGACGCTATGAAACCATCTGAGAAGATGCCACCCTGATAAAACAGAGAAAGATTTGAAATACTTTCAAACACTCAAAGATAAATTTCAGAAGAGACCTACACTGGACAGAATGTTCGCTTCGACGTCACAAAGAAATGATGATGGTTTGCGGGCGTCTTACAATATCTCGTTACTTATAGCAAAATCCGGAAAACCGCATACTATCGGAGAGAAGTTAATTTTGCCAGCCGTTGAAGAGGTTTTAAAAACTGTTTTACACAAACCTGCATCTGATATCATTAAAAGAATTCCCTTAAGCAACAATACTGTTGAAAGACGTATTGATGATATGAGTTCTGATATTGAAAGCTTATGTAATTATTTGCAAACGACCCATTTCTCTAAACAACTGGACGAGTCAACTTTACCTGATAATGCAGCATTATTATTGGCATATGTTCGTTTTATTATGAATCAAGAAATCTACGAAGAACTGCTCTTCGCAAGAACTTTGATAACCGACACTAAAGGTGAATCAATATTTCATGTTTTGAAGGATTACTTCATTGAAAAAGCAATTCCTTTATCAAATATAATATCAGTAGCTACAGATGGAGCACCTGCCATGGTTGGACGTTATCATGGATTTTTAAGCTATTTAAAACAAAATGTGTCAGGGGTGTTAGCAATACATTGCGTCATCCATCGACAACATTTAGTTGCTAAAAATTTGAGTGTTAGATTGCATGAATCACTTCATTTAGTCATTCGTGCAGTAAACCGAATCCGAAGCAACGCGTTGAATACGCGGTTATTTGCGCAGTTGTGTGAAGAAAATGACGAACACTTTCATCAATTACTCCTTCACACTGAAGTACGCTGGCTATCGAAAGGCTTATGTTTGACAAGATTTTTTGCACTTTTTGAGACTATTTTAGAATTTTTGGATACTAAAGATAAAATTTTAAAAGAAAATTTAATGAAGAGGAAAACAGAAATCGCCTATTTAACAAATTTGTTTACAAAATTTAATATGGTTAATTTGCAATTACAAGGCGACAGTTTAAATTTGATTAAAACATCTTATCAGCGTTTCATGCTAGAGTTAAACTAATGAAGCAAAATATTGGACGGGGCGAATTTTCTCAGTTCCCCAATTTGTCACAGACAAGCTGAAAGGAAGACGACGTTTCAACGTACGTTCAACATTTAAATGCCCTCTATTCAGATTTTGAATCTAGGTTTGAGGATATTTTGACTATGGTAATACCACCGTGGATAATTAATCCATATGGTGACATAGAAGAAACAAATATGATAATATGTACAAGAGGAACTGACTGAACTAAGTACAAACGAAGAACTTAAGGTTCAGTTTAAAAACGGATATCAGCAATTCTGGCTGCAAAACAACATACCCGTTACTTATCCCGTATTAAGGAATATAGCGAGGAAATTTTTAATTTCCTTTCCATCGTCATACCTAGTGGAAAGGGGGTTCAGCGCTGTTACTAATCTCCTAACGAAAAAAAGAAACAGACTGGACATCATTAGCCGAGGAGATTTAAGATTAACCCTTACAAAATTGACGCCAAATGTTGATAATTTATTATTAAAGCATCAGGTTCATCCTTCTCACTAAAAATATTGACTTATTGCTTATGTTATTTTATTTATAGTTTATTTTATGTTTATTGGTGTCTGACCAATAAAGGCCCGCATTGGGAATAAGTGCCCGCATTGATTTTTTTAAAGAACCCCCTTTATACAAAATATATTTTTTTAAATTATTCTGAAAATTCAAGGATAGGTACACACTAAAATTCGTTAATTTTTTGCCTATTTTTAGATAACTTAAACGTATAAGAAGCGAAATTTAATCAAACTAACAGTGAAATTATTGTAGAACATACGTTTATGTTATAATTAATAAACGAACTCGCTTACTGTACTATTTTAAGTAAAAAAACTATTTTTTTTTATTTTTCACGTTTTTTTTATTTTATCCCTCTTATTTTTTTTTTCAATGCGGGCACTTATTCCCAATGCGGGCACGTATTGGTCAGAGACCTGTTTATTTAATGTTACGTATATTTTACATAACAGATACAAAATTTTATTTTGAGTAGTTTTAATTTAAATTCAATTAATAAAAGTATAAATTAACATGTGTTTTTACTTTAAGTTTTTAACACTAAACTTCACTACAGTTAGAAATTTGCAGGAAATCAATATCAGGTAAGTAGTGGGTCTACCCAACACGGAAAAACATGGCAAGGGGTCTACGACACAAAAAAGTTTGGGGAACTCTGATTCTAGATCCTTGAAAGGCAGAATTACATCACACAAAACTGACTTCAGACTAGATCCAGAAAGGTGTGCTTTGGCCTCATATTTCAATATTACAGGACATTCTATGTGTTATAATAGTTTTAAGGTCCTTGAGAAAAAGAAACGTTTATTCTTAGAAATGTCCCACATTTTTGGATAATAACGGTATGAATAAAAAGGCTGCGAAATTGGAACGTTTGTATATCTCACCTAAATTGATTTTTCACAAAAAATAGCTACAAGTATAATAATTTAATAGATAAAATAAGCATTTTGTTTTTTTTACCATCCTGTTTTCTCCAGCTTAGGATTTTTTCACATTAACCAAGTAGTAACTTTTAATATACAATTTTTCCAAAATATTAATCTTTGAAACTTCTCAGTGACATCTTAGACTTGAATAAACGCTCCTCTTAATGATTGTACATACTCTATTAATTTGGCAGCAAATAAAATGGAACATTTCCCCTAACAATTAATCATCTGTCAATAATGTCGACTTCATTCACAAAAATTATTTTTTTTTTGTTTCAGAGAGAGAACGGCAGTCGGCACCACGCTCTTCAACGTAAGTATTTAAGAAGATGTCGAGATGATCCTACTTAGCGCACTTTAGCCTTAATATCGCCCAGTAGTGTTATTGTTTTATAGATCTCCTTTAGAAAAACTGAAGTCGTCTGATTAATCTTATTTGTTAATGATGCATTTGGAGCTTAATATGTAGCATACTTTTTAGTAGAGGGTATTAAAAACAAAAGATCATATGGGTCCTAATGTAGCAGAAATTCACGCTTGACAATTTTTTTGTGTTGTGATGGATTTGCAAACAATAATGATGCTGTATAAATAGTAGATATGCATTTCCCAATGGTGTATTACAAACCCTCACATCGTATTTGTTTATCAAAAAATTGAAAAATGTGACTAAATAACGACTAGCATTCAGGGGTTGGGTTGTAATTGCATTTAAGATCGATAGTTAATAAACCATGTGTCGCTATTCATCCTCCTTCCATTTTTGGAAGCTTATGATAATCGCAAACTGATAAAGCTAAAATCTTTCAGTACTCATTTAGAGTTTCGCTTAGAAAGCACAGCTCCAGCGAGTTTGACAGGGAACGATTTTCCATAAGTATAATGTCTTAAGAACATCGAAAGTATGGCTGAAACAGACCAACATCTATTAGTTAGATCAAAGTAACATAAAGTAGCTCTTTCTTTTCCAATCGACGCCCAGCTTCATGCAGCAACATGTAACTCGGAAACAGTTTATATTAGTTCCATTCGTTCTAACCAGCTTCTTATAGTATGTTTACTAAAGATCCAGCTAACTAGCTAAATCCGGACCTACTTCCACTTTAAACTGTATAGACATGATTTACAACGGAATTATATTCTTAAGAGTAGTTGAAGAGGTTTTCCGTCTAGAGATACAAAAAATGTTGCTGGGTAACTTTTTTTATAAACATCAAATTTGAAAAAATCACTTTTTCGCATATATTCAAAAAACTATGAAGTGTTGTCAAACTGATTTACAGAAAATTAGTGGGCTCCGTGATTGTCTGGCCATTAAATGGGACCACATATGTTTGAATTACTTTTACTAAAGTCCCAGTCGCCACATGGTCGCACTTCATGAAATGTATCATCTCTTGGCCAGATCATGATGTGCGGATCGTTCAACGTTAAGACCAACTGAACACGTGACTACTACACGAAATGGTACAGCACGTTCGATCAAATCGTAAAATAACATTAGTTGCCGATATAGGCGATAGCAGCGCTTTGTTTACATTACTGTTCGGGGCCGCGTTCGTAAATTTTAGACTTTGAAATTGTTTGACGTATCTGTTGTATTCGTTCAGAAATAGAATAAAGTAATCCTTTTGGAACTTCAAGAGTGTAGTTTTCTTTATTGTTTGTTTATTTTATTTGATTATCAAAAACGCTCAAAATTGGCAGAATATATATTTTTCATTATAAATGCTACATCGTATCCCTAGGGTCTCTTATAATGAACAATGGTCACAGAAAACGTGGTTAGAAATTGGTCGACGAATCTGTAATAATTTAGGCGTTCTAAAAATGAAGTTTCACAGTACTTCAGAGTAAAATTTCATTACTGTATACGGTATTACATTGCCAAGTGATTTACGAACGCACCCCTGCAGTCTTTAACATCGAAGTTATTTTGTTTGTTTTGTGAATATGTTACCAAATGAGGACGAAAGTGAGATTAAAATACTTTACGACAAAAAGGTACTCGACTTCTCGAGTACTATGCGGGTAACGCATGTACCGACCAACACGTCCAAAAGCCGTGGAGTTTGGAATGTGTTTCTAAGGATAGTACTTTATTCTTGAATTACATTATCATCCATTTCTTGGAAGTCAAAATCGTGTCAGCTTAAATATTGTTTTTGTCTATTAAACTATTATATTTATCACAGTTTTCGTGTGTTCCAATTTATTCTGCATGTTTAGATTGTGATACATTCATGCGAATACAGAGAACACAGAACTCATGCATACGTTTTATATATGGCATAAGAAAATTTGAAATAGTTAGTCATAAGCTGAAAGAACTCCGGTGGCTAAATATGAAGGCTCGTTTTGAGATATTCACAATATGCTTTTATCATAAAATGTTAACTCTCGGGCAGCCTCATTACCTCTACGAGAAAATAATATTCAGAAAAGACATCCATTCCGTAAATATTCGTTCGAAACAAAACATTACCGCTCCATTCCACAGAACTAAATTTTATGAAAGATCATTTACGTATAATATATATAAGCTATACAATCCTATCTCCCAGTACCTCAAATCATATGATATTCACAAGTTCAAAGCGGTTTTGCGTGATTCTTACCTTGAATGTATAAAGTAGAATTATTCTTACTGCGGAATTTCAATTTTATTTTGTTTGCATTCCATTATTTTATTTATATTTTTTTCATATGATGCATAATGCACGTATATGTATTCATATATCATTCTAGACTTTTAAATTTACCACTACGTTTTCTCTTTGCTCTTTTTTTTCAAACTGAATTGTCGTTCATATTGGCGTTTGTTTATGCGGTATGTTTGGGTATATATATATATATTAATCTAGACTTTCTTTTTTTTAAAATCTATCACCACATTTCTCACTTTTCTATCTTATTTTTAAAAAAACTTACATGCTGTTCATATTGATGTTTGTATATGCTTGATGGATGTATTTACTGGCATAATGTTTCTTACAATTTCAAGGGATGAGTGGAAGAGCACTTGATAGTGAACTCCCCCTTGTGGTTTTCAGACAGTCGACATTTGTTTTGTTTATTTTTTTTTATTTTCCTTTTTTTTGGTTAATACTCATGTTTCTGATTCTGTTTTTTTTTTTTTGAGAACTGTTTGGAAATAAAGGCATTTATTATTTTTATTATTATTATTATTATTTTACGAATGTAAATCTCATCTTAATTTTTATGTCATTTTTGGATTATGCATAGTTGGGTATGAGGTAATAACTTACTTTGCGATATGATCAAAAAATTTATTTGTTACATGTTGTGCAATTTAAGAATGTTTTAATAACATATTCTTGTAGGATACAAAGAGAAATGATAATAATAGAATATAACGATAAACGTGAAAACGACAAACCGATCTTAGAGGGTTTCCAAGTACCACCCTGTACTATTTTATTTTTATTACAATGAAGTTCTTAACCAATTCGATATGGGCAACAATGTCAGCATAATATTAAAGCCACTTACTTGGTGACGGAACGATAACGGGTTATCCTTCTTTGGAAAGCGATAAGGGCGATATGATCGGATGGTCGGGGCCAATACCTATTTTTAGAAAAATGATTTGAGTACCTGCCATATTCAACCGACTCATATCTTGCACAACTCTACTACCTTAGGATTACATTAATTATTTATTCACAGTGGTACCAATTCATAATTCTTTATTTATGATTTATCATATACTTGTCCGCAGGCACTAAGAGCGGGGA